CCTGCCCGTGGCTTTTCTCTCCTAGAGGCGGGTGGGGCGTGTCTGGGAACAGGCCGATCGACCAACTGCCGGTCCTGCGGGATGCTTAGCCAGTTCGGGAAGGGCGATCGTGGGAGAAGAGGGCCTCCTAATTAAATAAAAGGCAGAGCTGATGGAAGGAGGAGTGAGAAAGAGAGGGTCTCAGTAGTATGTGATAGAGTGAAGTAGACTCGAAGGATGCGATCTTCTGGGGGGAGTAAACACTCTTCAATTTCAACGTGACTCCCCCCAAAGTATAGGATTGCGCTGCATGCCTTCTAGAGCACGTGGGCGGGTTGGTTCTCCCCCTCTTTTGAGCTTTGGGGCTATGTCAGACAACCTTTTAAAAACAAAAATGCCAGTTGAATGGATTAAAAAAAAAATTATGGCTACCAAGCTTCTGCAGAATCAGCCGCAAAGCTCTCCTGTAGTGCACCTTCTGGAATTTTGATTTGGCAGCCAACACTGCTTTATAGGCACTGCTCAAGGGGAAGAGTTTTGGAGAACCACAGGCCACTGTGATTACTGAGAAGTCACTGCCTCCCATAAAGTACCTCTTTGGACTGTGGGACATGATAGTGTGCTCAAAAGTTATGAACCTTCTGTTTTTCTTATGGGCCTGAACAAGTCTGGGAAACACTGTACACTAAGAGACATAGCCTGGAAGTGAGGGACTACAGTATTGTCTGTCTCCAGGAGTCCCATTTGGGTGGGCCAGAGACAAAAGCTTTCCAGCATACACACACCTTTTTCAAGCCTGAAGGAATGTCTGCATATCTGGCCTACACCCTAGAAGGGCTGAATGTTTTCCCAACACTCATACAAACACTGAAGTAAAAAATGGTGTGCCGTGTCAGAAGTGGGGTTCGTACATTCATGGAGGAACTGGCATCCTATAGTTATTTGCCTGGGAATTGAACCAGTTTAGAGACAATACATCTCTGTTTCCTGATTCTGGGGCAAACTTGGATAGGGTGGCTGTCTCAGTCCCGCCCAGCTTGTATGCTTCCCTGGGATATTTGGTTGGCTGCTACTGAAGACACTTTAAGATGGGGTTTTGGTCTGATCCACCAGAGCAGTCTTATGCTATTATGCTGCCATCAAGTAGAGCAAACCAGCAGTCCAGCACTTTGACGCATAATTCTTCTTCAGAGGCACCGACCTTACGCCCCTTTGACACATAATTCTTCTGAGCTTTTCATTGTCCCTTTCAAAACAGCACATGAGACAGTTTGGGTCTAAAGTTTTGATCTAAATAAATGCAGTCCCAGAGCATATTATTAATCTCCACTGGAGCAAAAATATTAATTTTTCCCAATTATCGGTAAATCTCTCTGTCAAACTGCTGCCCTTGTCTGACTAAAAACAAAACTGTCCTCCAAAGGGATACAAGTATATGAAATAATTAAACAGGAAAAAGTGTGTGCGTTTGTGTGAGGGAATGAAGGCCCAATTGAATTAAACATCTGAGCCACAGCCCAAGGGAGAAATAAAGAAGAGTGACTAATACAAGGAGAGAAATATTCAAAACAAACACAATGCCTGCTCACTGAGCTCTCAGCAAAGCAGCAAGCCCCCAAGAGGACAAGGTGGAAACAGAAAGCAAAGGAGCTTAGCAGCTGTATGGCTGTAGAAGCCCCTTGTTCACAACAATACCTCTACAATTTTAAGGCAGGAACGACTGATAAACCAGAACATGAAAGAAACAGAAAGGAAAGGTGTAGCTTGAAAGGATACATCACACAATTAGAATCACCTCAGAATCAACTTTCTCTTTCTCAACATTCTCAAAGTCAGAATTTCTGGTGCTCATATATTGCTTTCAATTTTTGTATTCAGCCAAATACAAAATCTAGTAAATAAAAAGTGTTTCACTGGTAGGGGGGGCTGCAAAGGTTTTTTCTCTCTTTATATTCTTCTGTGCAATCTTTGAATATTTTTAAGTCTCTTTTTTCTTCCTTAGTAAGAATAACAAGCTGGGGGCCTGAACAAAGTTTGAGTCTAATGGCAACTTTAAGACCAACAAAGTTTTATAAATAAAAAATTAAGTAAAACGTTGTTGGTCTTAAAGGTGCCACTGGACTTAAACTTTGTTCTGTTGCTTTAGACCAACATGGCTACCCACCTGAAGCTGTGGGCCTATGAGAAATTAGAGGCATGATTGGAAATCCTTTCCAAACTCCAGTTACCCCTCAAATTCCCCCCTCAAGTATTATGTTAGCTCAGAGGCTTGTAGAGAATGATTCCCCCACCCCATAAGAACACAAGAACTCTGCTGGATCAGACCAATAGTCCTTCTAGACCAGCATCCTGTCTCATATAGTGGTCAACCAGTTCCTCTGGGCAGCCAACAACAGGTCATAGAGGCCACAGCCTTCCCCTGATGTTGCCTGCTGGCTCTGGGATTCAGAGGCTTAGCGCTTCTGCAAGTGGAGGTTTTCCTCAGTCACCCTGGCTAGTAGCCACTGATAGACTTGTCCTCCATGAATCTAATCTCCTTTTAAAGGAATTCTTTTTGTGGTCATCACTACATCCTCTGGCAGTGAATTCCACATTTTAATCACTCTCTGTGTAAAGTAGTATTTCCTTTTGTCCATCCTGAACCTGCTAACCATCAGCTTCATTGGATGTCCTCAAGTTCTAGTATTTTGGGAGAGGGAGAAAAATATCTTTTTGTCAGCTCTTTCTATTCTATGCATAATTTTATAAACCTCTATCATGTCTTCTTTTAGTCATTGCTTTTCTCAACTGAAAAGTCCAAGACTCTTCAGTTTTTCCTCATAGGGAAGGTACTTTGCCCTCCTTTGTACTTCTTCCAGCTCTGCAATGTCCTTTTTAAGATACGGTGACCAGAACTGTACACAGTATTCAAAATGAGACCACACATAGATCTATACAGGGACATTACAATATTGGCTGTTTTATTTTCCGTCCCTTTCCTAATAACCCCCAACATAGAGTTTGCCTTTTTGAGTTCTGCATCACACTGGGTTGACACTTTCATTGAGCTATCCACTACGATCCCAAGGTCTTTTTCCTTCTCAGTCTCAGCAAGTTCAGCCACCATTAGCCTATACTTGAAGTTGGGATTTTTTTGTCCCAATGTGCATCATCTTACACTTACCAACATTGAACTTCATTTGCCACATTGTTGCCCACTCTCCCAGTTCGTGAAGGTCCTCTTGGAGCTCTTCACAGTCAGACTTGGTTTTCACCATCCTGAATAATTTTGTGTCATCTGCAAACCTGGCCACTACACTACTCAGCCCTAGTTCCAGATCATTGATGAATAAATTAAATAGTACCAGCTCCAATATCGATCCTTGTGGGACCCCACTGCTTACTTCCCTCCATTGTGAGAACTGTCCATTGATTCCCGCTCTTTGCTTCTTCTCATTTAACCAGTTTTTAATCCATAAGAGAACCCATTCTCTTATCCCATGACTGCTAAGTTTACTCAGGAGTCTTTGGTGAAGTATGTTGTTCAAAGCCTTTCGAAAGTCCAGGTAAATAATAGCTACTGGGTCACTGTTGTCTACATGCTTGTTCTGTTTCTCAAAGAACTCCCAAAGGTTGGTGAGACAGGACTTCCCTCTACAGAAGCCATGCTGATTTGCCCTCAGCAAGCTTTGTGCCTAACACTTCTATCTTGTAATTACAGTTTCTGCTAATTTGCCTGGGACAGACATTAGGCTTTCCTAGTTCTCCTCTGGATCCCTTTTAAAAAATTGGTGTTCATTTGCTACTCTCCAGATTTCTGGTACAGCAGTTGAATTTAGTGATAGGTTACACATATGTGTTAGTAGGTCAACTACCTCACATCTGAGTTCCTTAAGAATTCTTGGGTGTATGCCATCAGGACCTGGAGACTTAGTGGTTTTTAATTTCCCCAGTAGGTTTAGAAGTTCATCTCTGGTCACCTCGATTTGGTTCAGTTTTTCAAATTCCCTTCCTGAAAATAGGGGCTGTGGCATTGGTACATGCCCCACACTTTTCCATAGCAAACACAGACACAAAAAAGTAATTGAGCTTCTCTGCCATCTTCCCATCTTCCTTTAGCAATCCCTTTATTTCTTTGTCATCCAAAGGCCCCACTGCTTCTCTGGCTGGTTTCTTGCTCCAGGTATATTTTTTAAAATGCTTACTGTTTGTCTTGATGCTTTTAACAACTCCTCAAAATTTCTTTTTGCATTCCTAATTGAATTACATTCCTTTTGCCAGAGCCCGTTGTTTATCCTGTTCAATTCATTGAGGCAGACCTTCCATGTTTTAAAAGAAACCTCTTTACTTTTTATAGCTTCCTTGACCTGTGTTGTTAAGCATGCACATGCAGGCCTACTTTTAGACTTGGCAGTGCCTTTCCTACCCTGTGGAATGTATTCTATTTAGGTTTCAATTAGTATGGTTTTTAGAAG